AAAAAAAAAAAAAAAAAAAGATAAAGACTCTTGGGCTTAGGAAAACTCCCGGACAGGACTCCCCCTGGTAAATAAAGGAGCAGCTGCCTGGAAACAAATTTATTCCAGCCTTTATTCACAATAATTTCCATAGCTTCACGAAGTACTTTGCTAAACATATTATGATATGTATACATTGGTCATGGTCAAATGGCTAAGTTTTCTATGGGGAAACAATAAGGTTTTATTTAAAATGCTCTTGGCACAAAACAAAATTAAAGGACAAAGGGCTTCATGTAACTGATACTCATTGTTATTTTGTGGTGTATACATTCATGCCTTCTGGGCGTACAAGTCCTCTAGGATATTGTTTATAGTAATGATCTTTTTGACTCAGGTATCTGCCTTTCTTGCACTCCAGCTCCTTGTGATAAGAGATACATGTCAAGCCAGCATGAGATAACCAGTCAAAATAGTTTTCTTTAAAACTTATGTGCTGTATGTTATATGTGTCACCATGCTTATCATCACTCAGCCGCCAAACAGTTGAAACAATCTCACACCCTAAAATTAGAGGTTAGACATTATGAACTCCTAAAGTACAGTTATAGGCCAGTATGTATGTTCTCTTTAGATGGCATTCTGCTAAAGGATAACAAATAAGAATTAAATAAGAATTCTTCTTTATGTCATTTAATGTTTTGTGATACTATGTGTGGTTCTTGATCTTAAGTTTCTATAATATATAACTGTTGTCTGTTAATATTTTGCAGGGACAAAAATACTAGAAACAACCATGGTTGATAAGAAATAACAGCCCCCTAACTATGCTTTATAGTTTAAAGTGCTTAATGTCCAGACAAAATTATAATAGTTAAGCTCACTGCTCCTACTGCACTACTAACATAACTGACCTCTTCTGGGTGTTCAACAATTAAAGTTTGGAGATCAAAAAACTGGAAAGGTCACTGGGCTATGAGGACTGCCACTATTTTGGATCTGTCCCCTCAAGGTCTATAAGTTCCAGGACACAAAGGAACCTTTTCTTTTCTACAGGATTCTACATCTTTGGTAACTCACTCAACTTCCTGAGCTGGGAGATTGCTGGGCACCAGAAGACAAATATACTGTGTGCCAAAGGAGGGTCACAGAGAGGGAAAAGTCTCCCATGGTTTCACTGAAAGCAACATGATCAAGCAAGGCTGTGTCCCATCCTGACAGCTGACACTGACAGAGGGGCTGAGAGGCTCTATGCATGGTTCCACAATAATGCCTGAAGAGACTTAACTGACTTTGCTAGATAGCAAAAGGTTGATGTTGATTGACACAGGTCTTACTTTAACTTGGTCTTAAACACCAACAGAAAAGAATAAACCAAAGAGGTGTTTTTAAAAATACCATAGTAATAAAGCTAGATATAAAAAGGGTCTCCAGTCACTGACCTTTTCTGGAAGTTTCCAGCTCTACCATAGCTGACCATGGTTATGGACCATTAGGAAAAAAACTGTGGTAAAATCTATGAGCTCAGCTAGACTTTCATATTTCTTAGAGAAATTTGTTCTTCAAATTGTCTCATAGCTAAAACTAGAGAGACTTATGACAAAGTATCAGACTTATAGATAACCTCTGTCAATGAAAGAATCTAAGTCCAGCAGGTTCAATCACTATTTCAATTTCTAAGTGTGACTTTCTCCCCAACCTGCCCTTTCATTCTAGTGTGCTCATGCTTAGATTATGCATACTCTAATTTCTGAAAAGTTTTGTTTAGTCTTGCCCAGAGGCTGCCAAACTCCAAGTGGTCATACAAATGGAAGCAATGGCAAATGTGCTAGACTTCTTTTAGTGGGATCCACCAGATCAACCTTGTAAACAGCTCATAACTGCTAAACTAAACAATATGACTTCTATGTTGGATTCTGCAGTCCCCTGGACCTTCTCCTAATCCTCTGTGTGGGCTATATTAATAGCAATCCTGCTGAACTTATAATTTGGCCATGCATTCTTAACTGTTTTTTTGTCTTTGTCTCCTCCAGACTTAAAAGCTATGCAGCTACCAAGATGACAATGCCTGGCACCTATGGAAGGCCTTTAGACAGACCCTCTGTAGAGTAACTCTGACTGCTGATCACAGCTATGACCCTCTTCAGATGGAAGTGGCCAGCTACTACTTCAAAACACAAGAAGTAGTAGCTGTCTTTGCCCTTTGCTCCCTCACAGCAGTTAGGGGTACTTCTTCAGAGGTGGGACTATTGCACATAGGTAAGTTAATTAGATATCTTGTAGGCAGTTAGACAGGGCTGCCCTCAAGGAGCCAACACACCAAGGAGCCAATGTGCAGGACAATCAAAACACATTCACTGAAGGCCAGAATTGTAAAAGGAGAGAAACTATTATATCCTTGTGCTTCTCCTGGGGACAGATAGCAGTGCTTGATATTCCAAATAGGTTTCAATCACCTGGGTGGGGTGGCTTAACCTAGCCTTTCAAGGAAATATCCCTGACCCCCAACCTTACTGAAAATCCTTGCTATGTGACTTGCTCCCCCATTTGATTCCCATTTAATCAGTATTACCTGGGTGACTATACTTGTAATCTTATGGCTGGTCATGGTTTTGCCCCACCTCGTGGCCACCTTGTAATTTTTCCATTGAGTCTTATAGTTTTGTCCCACTTTGTACCTGCCTCACCATATGGCTTTTCTATATAAAACATCTTGGAGAAGTGCGGTGAGTGGGCAACCCACTTTCTGGTCCTCCTTCTGTCTCTCCTAAACAGAAGCTTTCTTTCCCTCAATAAATTTTTCCTACTCTTAAAGAAAAAAAAAAAGAAGTGAGACATGAGAAAGACTGTGCACCACACTCTTGTGTAGATGTGCCCTGTTTAAGAGATTTGCACAAAGAGGCCCTTCCTCAACAAAACAACATTATTTGGCTTGTAGGAAGTGAGGGATAACACTATGTGGGCAAAACACAAGAAGTAGTAGCAATAATAACAAACATAATTTAAACTGAAATGGTAACCAAGAGCTCTAACTTCAAGGAAAAAGCTGGTTGACTCAAAGACAAATGAAAATTCCTCTGTTCTTTCTGGGGCATCCTTTTTTTTTTTTTTTTGGTACTGGGGATGAACTTGGGACCTTGCACTTGTGAGGCAGGCAGTGGTACCACTGAGCTAAATTCCCGCCCCTGGGGCATACATTTTGACCTCATTGCTGATGAAGTCAGAGATTCCAGAATGGAGTTAATGTGGTCTCAGTTCAGTTGCACTAACTCCTTCTTCTCAGTTCCTAATAAAAATATACACAAACCCTCTTGATTTCAATACCTGGAATTTCCGTATTTGAATTCACAGTCAATAATTGTGCAACTTCCTCTGGCAAGAAAAAAATTACCTAAAGTGAAGCTGAAAAAAAAAAAAAATCTAACAGGTTTACATTCTGTAGCAATCAGACTAGGTCCAAATATGCTCAGAAATCTCTGTAGCTAAACATTAGGCTGACTTCAGGCCCGTTCTGCTGCAGGTCTGGGAAACTCCAAGATCAGTTTATAGAAAATTGCAGCTACTTAAATCGATAATAAGTGGTTTGTTTCAATGGGTGAAGCAACAGTATTTTCATTACTTAGATGATGGGAGGAATGGTAACACATAATTCCTAAGAGTTGATAATGTTAAAGCATTTACAGAACAATTTAAACCAGAATTTTGTCTCATCCTCTGCAACACAATTTTCCATTGTACTTTGTAGTGTAATGTGCATATCATCTTGCCCACCTAACAGTGTCTGGATGCTTACATGAATAAATTTTATAACACACTTAAGAAAAAACTAGAACATTAATTTCTAAACTATGTAATTATTGTAGTAAATGCTCCTCAAAGGTCAATCAGAACTGAGTGAAAGAAAATGAGAACCACTTTATTTCACTAAGATTTGGGGGGATTTTAGCATTTTAAAATCACATGGTAACTACATTATCACCCCTGCTGAGATGTTTTTAGTTCTTTCTTACTTACAAAGGCTGCCTTTTAACTAGGGTGGTCAGAGTTATGGAGATCCTAGAAAATGTATTTTTTGAGAACCCTAAGGTTTCTTTCTAAAGTTTCTCTGTTTCTAAAATACTGTCTCTCCTCATTACATTGTCCTCTGTAATTGTACAGTTTACAGATACTTTTGCTTTTTCCTTTGTTGGAATTCACATCTTCAGACAACATAATAATTAAATTCTCACTAGTGATTTATGCCTTAGAAAGAATGAGTATAAGACGTTGTTCTGAGAGAAAATATATAAAGAAAGGAAGGACTAGGGGAAGAAAAGAGACATTCGCCTAGTGTTGAACCTGTAGGATTGCCTAGGAAGAGGACAGGGCTCAGAGAGAAGAGATCTGTTGTTTGTGTCCTGGCACAAGTTTTTCTGAGATACCTAGTGCTTGTTAAGCCTTGGAGCCTAGTTACCAAGGAGCAAGATAGAAATAACCCCAACACTGGTATTTAATTTCTTTCTGTTCTTGAGACTACAAGTGCAAACGCCTGATTTCCTGTGTTTCTGCCTACTTTCAGTTTCTGTCACGTAGCAAATTCTGTTGTTTCAAGACCAGGTCTTGAGCTCAGATCACATTTTGCTGAAAAATACAAGCAAGCATTGGCCTTAGCCCCACAATGTCATACATCTCAGAAGCTTTCCACTGGCTTTGCCATTCACTCTCTCAAGAAGATATGCTCGCCCCAAACAAAGAGACAGGGAACTGGCAGGTCTGTGTGGCTCAGCGAGACAAGAAATGTGGCTGCTCATCTTGCCAGCTGGCCTGCCAGTTGGTAAGTAAGTCCACTTGTGCGTGCAGACTTGGGGTCTGTGTGGCTCAGCGAGACAAGAAATGTGGCTGCTCATCTTGCCAGCTGGCCTGCCAGTTGGTAAGTAAGTCCACTTGTGCGTGCACTTGTATATGTGCTGTATTTACGTGAATGTGTGTTTATGTGTATGTGTATGGATGGTGTTGTGCACCACATTTGAGTGTATGTGTTTACATATGTGTGTGGTGTGTGAGTGCTGTTTGTGTAGATGTATGCATTGTTTATATATATTAGTGTGTATATCTATGATTTTATGTATGTTTCTGTTTGTTAGCATGGCAACAAGCATGTGTGAACAGTGCACGTGTATTATATATGGGTATTTGTGTTTGTGTGTGTGTTGTGGTGCGGTGTGATAAAAAAAGCTGTGACTAGGAAATCTGAAGAATGTTGTGCCCTGCCCCAAACCATTTAATGTTTCTCACTCTTCTGTGAGTTTTGCTTTCTTTTCCTGGGCAACACAACAGAGGTGATATCAGCTCCATCTTCTGAGTTGGAGGAAAAGAAAAATCTACAAAATGTGGCCAGTGTGTGTGTGGTGCTATTCCAGGTAGGGCCTATGGTGGGGCAGCAAGCCTCCCAGAATGAAGACCCCATTCTCTGCAGTGTTAGAGTTTGCAACCTACTATGCACAGGGGTAGAAGGCAGTGGACCCCCCCAACACACATCCCTCTCCATTCACTGAGCCCTGCTTGCAAGGTGGAACACTGTTCTTACCAGCCTGTGGCTGAGTGGGTCTGTGTGAGAATGTCCACCTGGCCTGCTTCCTCTCTCTTTCTGGGAGGTCAACAAACCTTGGACTTCCTTCATTCCGAGTCTAGCCTGTTAAAGCCACAGTAGCCTCCCCACAGCCAATTCCTGAGATTTGGCAAGGATAAAGTGATCTGCCAGTTGAATAAAGAAGAAAGAACATCCAACAATGTTGTGGTGATGAGAAAACCACGTCTATTGAAATCCCCTGGCATTGGGCTCCCCATACCCCAGAGTCTTTACCTGGACTTGTGTAATCTGCCTAAGGTAGCTACACATTCTGAAAAAAGCAGTCAAGGGCTGGATATTTTTCTCCTCAGTTCTGCAGAGAAATCAACTAGATACAGCACTGTGAGCTACTGAAATAGAGAACTGTTAGTCTAAGAAGTGAGGTCACACATTGCTCTCATCAAATGGGTGATAGATGGTCCTGGCTGGGGGTCATGTGGCACTAATGTGCAAAGAATCCAAGAGCTGCTCTAAAAATGCTATGAATATGTTGGGAACTTGTATGGTAAGAGATCTTCAGGGCATCTTGTTCCAACGTTCACCCTGAACGGACATCATAGCCCAAGGAGTGTGAGCGTTCTAAGTGATAGCTGTGTCTCATTAAGTGCTGAGGTGTCTGACTCTGAAGGTCCCCATGGCTGTCATCTTATTCACAACAGCACCTCCTGGTTCTTCCACTCCTCACTTCCAAACCTTCTCCATAGTTGAAGTGTGGATGGCTCTTTCTGGCTCCAACACTTAGAGCAAGCCCCTCCCACAATTTTCTACTTATGCCCTCCAAGCACACTGTGGGACACAGGTTCAGGGTCCCACCAGATTCTTTGTCTGCTCCCTTCCTCTTCCTCCTCCAGACTCTGTCAGCCCAAATTCTATTCCTTTATCAGTTCCAGCCCAGCAGTTCCTTTTCCCATGCAATTATTATACTCAAGATGGATACCACAATGGGAGTGGGACAGGGTCTCAAAATCTGAGAGAGTTTTAGATCTCTCCTACCCTCTTCTCACTCAGTCTCCCCTGATCTTAATCCAGCGCAAAATCTTCCCTCTCACAAGAGAATGGAAAAAGGTAAAGTGCACAGTAAAACTTATTTGGAAAATTGGTAAAGTTCATCATTGATTTTTATAGGTGGAAGAAGAAGAATATGTACTGATTTCAGAGATTTCCCCAAGCCTGCCTCTCTGGAACCCTACAGAAGAGCTGTCAGAAGGTAAAACTACTTCCCTAGCAGAGGAGCACCCTGGAACAGTGTCAGTGGGGACGGCTGGTGTGCAGGAGGAACACGCTGCACTCATGGAGTGCTTGGAGAGGCAGCTGAAGGTTCCTGTTGCAGAGATTTAGCCACCTCAGCAAGAAATAAGGAAAAAGACCCCCGATAAGTGTGGAGGGCAAAAGGAAGGAAGAAATATAAGTCCCAAAGATAATGGTCTTCAGACTCTGGGGTTTTCTCCATGGGAAGGCTGTTCTATGTAGCAGTGGGTGTGAAGAAAACAACCAGTCTCGGCCCAAGGTTGGAAGCCAGCAGCCCCTGGGTAGAAGATATAATTTAGGAATGCCATAAACCTACCCATTTTCCTGTTCATGGAAAATTATTTGTGATTTGTTATGTATTTAATATGAATTATTTTTATACTTTATGAACCTTAAGGACCTGGGCAATTGGTCTCTTTTCTTTTCTTTTTTTTTTTTTTATTTGTTTTGTTTTGTTTTTTTGGTACTGGGGACCGAACTGGAGACCCTGCATTTGCAAGGCAGGCAGTGGAACCACTGAGCTAAATTCCTGGCCCAAGAACCTGAGTAGTTGGGAAAAGGACGTATTAATCTACTACATAGAAAAATTACCAAAGTGTTAAACACACTTTTATCTCTTCATAGAGTAATCAAGATTTCAAAAACTAGAGCTCAGATGATGTATTTGGTTTTGAAGTCCAATGGTAGAATCTGGTTGTAGCTGCTCTGATGGGAGTTATTGTCTTTCCCCAGGTGTATATTGACTAGGCCAGCAGGAATGAGTATCTGACCATCCACACTTTCTCTAAATTCCCACCCATTCACTCACATGCCTTTCCCCTTCCTTGAAAAAACTGGAGAGAACCAATGTTATTCTTTCAGAATTTGAAAGAGGGTCAGCCAGGCATGAGCAGCAGAAAAGTAGTATCAAAACTGGTCATGCCTGCCTCACAAGCACAAGGACCTGAGTTCTATCACCAGTACCAAAACAACAACAACAACAATAACAACAACAACAACAAACTCGTCAGTGCTAAGGAGGTTACGAAAAGACAAGTGCCCACTGAACTTTGGGAGGCTCAGCATTCTGTGAAACCTTCAGTGTCCTCAATGGGAACCAGATTTGGAAACCAACTATTATTTATCATTTCTTTATCTGTTCTGGGTTTTGGCATCTGCTGTGCAGCCACAGGAATATCTAAAAGTTTTGGCCTTAGGTTTCCAGAGTCTGTTTGGCATCTCCAAATCTCCTCTCTCAGTGATGGCTGATATTCCTCTGGGTATGACTGCTCAGCCCCACTTTGAAGGATGTAGACTAAGAATGTGAACCCATGAGAGGTCTCAGGGTAATGGAGCCCCTAAGATAATGGAGCACACCCAGGAGCATAGCATCTGATAAGTGGAGTGGTTTGGGTTCTAATACCAGTTCCCCCTGCTTTTTTTTTTTTGATGTTTCCAGGTCTGACAGAGAAAGAACTCACCCCAAGGAGACTGAGGCTCATTCTGGTGGGGAAAACAGGAAGTGGGAAAAGTGCAACAGGAAACACCATCCTTGGCAGGGAAGTATTTGAGTCTAAACTCAGTGCTAAACCAGTGACCATGGCTTTCCAGAAAGGGAGGCGAGAGTGGGATGGAAAGGAACTTGAGGTGATTGACACTCCAGATATTCTGTCCTCTCAGGTCCAGTCAGAAATAGCGGCTAAGGAGATCTGCCAAGTCATAGCCTTCTCCTCCCCAGGGCCTCACGCAGTGCTTCTGGTGACACAGATGGGCCGCTTTACAGAACAGGATCAACAGGCTGTCAAGCGTCTCCAGGAGATCTTTGGAGAGGGGATCCTGGCTTACACCATCTTAGTGTTTACCCGGAAGGAAGATCTAGCTGATGAACCCTTGGATAAATACATGAGAGAGACTGACAACCAGAGCCTTGCCAAGCTGGATGTGCTCTGTGAGCGGCGCCACTGTGGCTTCAACAACAGGGCGAAGTGGGTGGAGAAGGAGGCCCAGCTGCAGGACCTCATGAATAAGGTTGAATGGATCCAGTGGGAAAATGAAGGTCACTGTTACAGCAACAGGGCTTACTAATACTCCCAGCAGAAGGTTCTGTGCCAAGAAGTCCGGGAAAGACATATGACCCAGGAGCAAGATTCCGAAGAGGTGCTCAACAAAGACTCTTGGCTGGAAGTCTTGTCCAAAATCCAGGAGGAATCTGAGAAGACTTACAAATGCATCTTGGGGACGATGTCTATCTGAGTCCATGCACATGAGCAGGAAATTGCTCAGTCCCTGCATCCCCATGTCCAGCCCTACTATGGACTTTGTTCATACTCCTAGAGCACTGCCCAAGTCCCCAGGTCACAGTAGTGTGGCAGAGGGTTGGGGCTCTCAATTCAGGTGCCTGGCTCATATACCAGCTCTCCACTGCTTCTTCTAGAGCACTGGGCTCTCCTTCCACCATATCCCAACAGCCCGCTATCTGCATATGTGACCTTCTACCTCACCAACATTACAACTCTTGGGATTTGTGTCTATACTCTCATAGAACCAAAGCTTCCTGAGGGCAGGCCTGTCACTTTCTTCCATGTAACACCTACACCTGCCTTGCCATCAGTCAGTCAGTGTCAATGCAAGTTTGTGTGAGCCATTGACCAGATGGCTTCACATCTCTTGGGCTCTATTCTCTCCCATAAAGGGGATGGGCTTGTTGGCTGTGAAAGTACCTGCTGTGTGTGATGGGTAGTACGTAGCAATGAAACAGAATAGGCAGGCACAGACCCTTCCCATAAGTTTTCTTCCCCAATGTGAGCTAATTTAATAGATTATGTTTTTAAGGTAATTAGACTGCAACTAGCAACTGGGTTTTTTTTTTTATCCTTGTAAGAGACTTTCCTGCAACCTTAGTGTGTGCAGAAATTGTGAGTCATGTGCAACAAATGTTAAATACACCTGTGCAGGAGAGAAGCTGGACTATAACCCGTGTACGACACCTCCACAGGGAGCCAGTCTGCAACACTTGGCTATGCACTATCACACTTGTGCTTGAGCATAAGCCCTGAA